ATATTTTTTGCACCCAAGGTTCAATCTTCCCCTTTCCTTTTAACACTATTGTATGCTTGGATCACGGCATCCGAAACCTGGAGGGTCTCTCTAATTTATTTCTCCTCTTCACACTTCCAGCTTACTCTGCTTTCCAGTGTGAACTGAATTTTCTAAAAATGGCACACTTGGTGTCTTTGACTCTATGGTCTCCCCTTTTCCCTACCAAGTTCCCACCTTCAACCTTGAAGGCAAAGATCTTGTCAGTACACAGTAATTCCTCAATAAATCCTTGTCCATTGGTTAGCCTTCTAAGAGGCCAACAAGCCCATTGTCATGCAAGCTTAATATCTGGGTTAGCCAGTGGCCTTAGCAAGCTAAGAAATCAATCCTCTGGCTCCTTTATGAGCATTTGCTTCTCTCTTTGCTGACTGTTGTCAATGGGTAGAGAGGATCTAGATGAAAGCCTACTAAAAGAACTTTAGAGTGGCTTCTTCTCAGGTCTCTTCTAATAAACACCCAACCAGCAATTGGAATTATAATTGCTGTGAGTCACGCCATGAGTCACATGGGTTGTCATGGCAACCTATTAACTATACAACCAAAGTACCTTCCATTAGCTTTGCCAAGAATGGTTCTTGAGTTTTCCTGGACTGTGAAAATAATGTGTGTGAGCCCCAAGTTTGGGTTGCTAAGAGTCTATAATAAAAAGGAATGGCCTTAAGGAAAGGAAAAGAATACCAGAAAATACAATTATTCTTGTTCTTGGACCCCCTGAGTAAATTACAACAATGGCTACAAATTGTTGGGTTGGTTTTGTGATGTCAACAAATGCCCAAGAGAGAAGGTTGAGGCTTTGAAACCAATTTTCTCTAAGTCAAATCTTAGAAAAATTCCAAGCCAGCTCTCTAGGGGTAAAAAGTGAATACATTAGTCTATTCTACTTTACATGGTTGCAATTGGACACTTTTTATTTTTACAGGTATAAAAGATTATTTCTCAAAGAACTATCCTGTTTTCTTTTCAAAAGTATTTTTACTATTGAGGACCTAATCTCTATAAATAATACAGTATTTTAATTTTATATTTTAGGGAGTAGCCTACTACAGCCAAACAAAATGTATTAATTTACCTTTTAAGGGTAATTTATGTTAAAATTAAAATATTTTGGAGGGTTTGAAAGCATATTTTATTTTGTTATTTATTGGGAAGAAGTGACATTAAGTTGGGAAAAAAGTACACATTTTCCTGATTGCTTCCTGAATAATCTGTAGTCTGCATGTTTGTATGTGTCTGCTTCTGAATGTGGAAGAAAGCAAGCAGAACAGACTAAATCAGGAAGAATAAGGGATTTTAAATAAGGATGAGAACATAAGGAAGTAACAATGATCTGTTGCTTTTGGAAGCCTACCAGGTATCTTAGTGATCTGTGATGGGTTGGCTGATATAAACCCTGAAGCTATGATCCATGATGCTAAACTTCCCAGTAGCTGGAAGCAGTTAAGATGATCTATTGCATTTTTCACTTCTCCTCCATATTTGTCATATTCTAACATTTTAGTGCATGTGGAATTATTGAAGCAGAATTAGATTAAGTAAGAAGTCAGGACCAATGACCAGTTGTCCTTGGCAAATATGAAAAACCAAGAGAGCAGTTGATTCCAAGGAAAAGATACTTCTCCACATGGTACTATTTCAGCAGGAAAGAGACCAGAAAAAACTTGTGAAACACCATAGCAAAAGCAATCCTGAAAGTGTCCAACCAAATACAGGTGCTATATAATCACCACAAAAATTGGATTGAAATTCTATACCACAGTGTAAAATTTCTCTACTATGTTCCTATCCTACAAGTAATAACTCCCTTTTATGTTCCCACTCCTAAAACCAGCAGCAACATTTCCAATCAACAATTGAAGAACAGCAAAAAATGTAAGAATTCCTTGACCAATTTGGTCCTGATGACTTGGTACTAGAAGCCCCAAAGTTTTGCCTTTTCCCACTGGTCAAGTAAAGTTAATGACAAACACAAAAGGTTCTCTTCTCGGGAACTCGGAGAATGAGTTCTCCAAAGACCATGCTTATGGAATCCTCTGAAGCTAATAGTAAGATTTCCTTTTCTGGGAATTTCTGGCTCAACTCTATTAAAATATTTTTTTTGAAAAGCAATACCTATGCTTTCCAGGTAATAAGGTGGCCTAAAATATTATCAGGTGTCACAACTAGTCAGGTTCATTTTGTAGTTCTTGCACCTCTGACTGGTGTACCTGTGAGCTGACACTCTGGTCTGATAATATATTCTACAACTGTACATGTTAATTTGTAAATTGAACAATCTCTCTGTGAGGGCAGTTAGGAAACCTAGATTGACGGTGCTAATAGGGGGTGACTTGAGCTGTCGATGATTATGTAGTCAAGCCTTGACCAAGGTTTCCAGAACCCTGGCTAAAAATGGAAGTTGTGAGACGGGACATAAATTAATTCATACACTTCACTGATAGTGAAACTTTTTGAAGAACAGATGTCAAGATGATTTAAGAGGAGCTGGAATTTAACATCTTAAGACAACTTATAGGCAAGTTTGGACAGTTCCGTTTTCAAGCTGAATCTGACAGATGCTAAAGAAGTTATTTGGGTGGTGGTTATTAGAGAAAGAAGTGGTTGATTTTCTTCCTCCTTACAAGATGTGGGCCCTGTAGAGATGCTAAGATCAGAAATATGATGGGCAGTCTGCTGAGTGTGGTGACAAAAACAATCTCCACGTTTAAGTGGCATGAAACTTTTACTAACACACAATTTGGACAATTCAATTTCTTCTTGGTATGTGCAAAGTTTTGTGTCAGCTGTCTAGTCAGGTGCCATGCTGCCCAACTTGACTTTCCGTTTTATGTTGGGCCCCCTTCCCCAAATCATGAGAGTAAATATTAATAATAATAAAAAAAACTAAGGTGATTTCTGATCTAAATCTTTCTGTCAATTTAATATTTGAATTACAGAAAGGAAGATTTACGTTAAGCCTTTCTACATTTACTTTATGCTTAATGTGTAAGAATTTCCCTGCTCATTTTCTTAGTTAGAAAGGCAATCAAAATCCATCCACTCTTGTGGAGTTAGTTATGCCTTTGTTGCAAGGCCAAGTTTGTTGCCTCTTATTAGAAATCCAGGTTTTCATCACTAGCTACCACTCTCATGCTGTCACCTAAATCCTCCCATGAATTTAAATCCAATCACAGGTGATTGTTTCTACAACAGATCAATGAAATTACTCTCAGGAATGACAATTCCTTGAAGATCCTTAAGATGGGCAGTCTATATATTAATGAAAATCTACAGTCTCTGTCTCACTGGTAGTTGAGGAGGACTCTAGGTATCCAATGGAGTTGAACTAGTGGTTCTATTCACTTATCCAAGAGCCAAGTCACAATACAAATAGTCAGTGGCTTTCTGTAGATTGCCAGGTGGCCAGGAGTCCATACCCCAAACCACCAGAAACAGTAGGCACAATCATCCGCCCCTGTTTGGGAGAGGCCCAGGACTGAGCTAGCAGAAAGACTGAATTACTTACCACCTCTAGAGTGGGTCCCTCCAGGCCAGGGACGAGCTCATGGGCAAGGCTGTGCAAGGAAGCGCTCTGTACCATGCCTGCCCTGCGGATATACAGAGGACTTCAGTCTCCTGTACTGTCAATCTCTCAGTCATCATGAGCTCAATTATGCACCGACAACAGCAAGAACAACGAGACGACGACAACAAAACATACCCCCAAAAGCTAAGGGCCACAGGCTACTCTGATGAAGGGACAGCCAACTGAAACTATGTGTTGAAAGATGGAGGTGCTGCTCTGATCAAGTGTCCATTACAGGCCTGACCTTTACATATTTCCTCAAACAAATATTCCACTGACGCCCCTGGGAGAGCAATGTGGGGAGACTGTAGGACTGGGCCCTAAAAGTAAGGCAACCATCAGATTTAGTGGGATTTCTTTTTGTTTGCTACAAATACAGATAGACAGACAAACCCAAGAGCAGGTTTCAAGAGGCGTAAGATAAACTATTTTGATGTTAAACAGATTCCCCCCACCCAAATGTTTCACAAGAAATAAAAAAAATTAAAGTGTAATTAGAAAAAATTTGGAGACACGTCTTTGTCGGCCTTAGATTATGCCATAAATATCTCCACTCCTTGCCTTAGAAGGATGCCCAAACATATCTCATAGGTAGTGCACATCTGTGGTCTAATATGGTTATGAAATTCTAATGACGCTATTAATTCAAAGTCTAAATATGCTGGTCTAGTACAGTGAACGTTGACTGCCTGCATCAATGGTGTACTCATCTGATCCTGAGATTCAAAGCACAGTCAAACATTATTGCTCAGATTGAAAATAACAACACTTTATATTGACACGAGTTTGTAAACTTATGGTACAGTTTGAATGAAAGTAATTGATGAAAGCAGTTGAGCCTGAGAAGTGGGAATGAGTACAGAGTATAAATCCAGCGCACATTTCCACATCAAACTGCCGATGCCATTAACCAGGGCCCTTGGAGGCCACACTCATGGTCAAACAACAGCACCTATTCCCAGCCAGTATCCCTGCTCCACAGACACAAGTACAAGACAGCCTACATCGTAAACTAGTGGTGAGGAAAAGGAGACCAAAGTTTAAAAGAAATCAAGGTGATGTTTCCTAGAAACATAACTCTTCTAAGAAGGATCCAGGGTAAGAATGATAAGTAAGTAAATAACTGATCCTCCCAGCTAGATTTTATGATTTTTCTATAGCTTACTGGCTTAAATCACTAGAACTCAGAATATGCCTAGGCTCTCCTTAACACACACTCAGTACACATAGGTGGAAATGTACCCTTTCCAACCACTACAGGTAGAAAAATATGACCTCTGTTGACCATGGATCACAGCTAAAACATTGGTATATACTTGAAGGGTCACAGCAGCCAGACATATGCGAATTCCAATTCTTCAGAAAACTTGGGACAAGAAAATAAAGCATTACTTACATGTATGCGTCTTCTTCGTTACTGAGATACCTAGAAGAGAGGAAATAATGACAAAGGTAAGAAAGTGTCCTGTGTGTGCTCCTTGGAATGTACATCATGCACAGACAGTCTATTCAGAAACACGTTTTGTTCAGATGGCGATGCAGAAGCAGGATTGGCCTTACATGGCGGCGTTACAGGACCTACCCCAGCACAATGCAACCATGGATGACGGGGTCAGTAAGCATCGGCTACTGATGTAAGCTGTCTCGTAGTAAAAGGAAGTAGCACAGATAGTGATTAAACAGGGTGAGAGAAGACTCTTATTGTTTATTTTAAATTAGGGGAGACAATCATCATTATAGGCAGAGAGGGGAAGATTCAAGGTTCAAGAGAGTGATGCCAAGCTACCCAGACAAAAGAGCAATTAATTTGCGATGGCCATGGATTCTGTGTTTACTTTTCAATGAACATGACTCTTCCTGCTCGCCTGAAGCATTGCTTTTCATGGTGAGGGGAAATACATCCACAAAACGCACCTATCTGTTCATACTCCTTAGGGTCAGAAGGGGAATGACTTCACTGTACACGGCACTGAAGCGAACATGGACCGAATGACAACATGGATTCATGACTCAGCACCCTTGATGTTTCCAAGATTATTCACAGAGAGCAGGTGACGAAATGCAACCAAACAAGATTAGGCACCTGAGACCACATACAGATAACATGCACTCGTGCTCAGTGTCAACAGTGCTCTCTGCTTCAGAAGGACTCCATTTTGTATGCTTCCTGCTTCCTCCTTCTTGGAGGACATTCTTCAGCCCAAGGAGGCTCAAAGTCCATAAAACACTTGAAAACATTTAGCCTGTGACTAAGAACTGCAGTAAACCTTGAAAAAAAATTTTTTTCTTTCAAGTTATTAAGAGAACTGTTTAACCCTCCTCTGGAAAGTAAAAGTTGGTGAAAAATTTGGCACCCACATCAGACTTATCACTGAGCTATGGAACATATGGTACAGGGAAGAAATCTATTCTGAAAATCCACGGTAGACATTAAAAAAAAAAAAAGTTCCAAAGTTGTACGCCAAGACCAAAATCACACACTTGTTTCCCCCCACAACTTTCCAAAGGACTGACTTTGGGAAGCTGAAATTACATAGCCCAACTCAAATTCTCCCCACCCCCCCTGCAGTGAGGAAAACCCAACTAATCATTGTTTTTCATCATGTTTGAGTTGGCGTCGCAAAGTGAAGTTAGAACTAGCTGCAAAGAGCCTTGCAGGCTCTCCCTGCCACAAGGGATCAAAAACAAGTGTTCCAGAAGTTGGTGAAACAGGCATGATCATGGGAAGGGAACTTCCCTCCACGGCAACCGCGAGTGGAGCTTAAAATCTGAATGCAATTTGCAGCTCCAGCTCATGACACCAGCGCCTGTAAATTGATACATTAGTGCTCTTTCAGCGTTACTGGTATGAGAGTTCCGTGTGTACCTTCCCTAGGAAAGAATGCTTTCTGTAAAATCACTCTGAAGAGAAAGTGCTTATGCCGTCGCTCCTGATTATTCAGAACCTCCACACAATTGGATTTAACACAGCCCAAGACAGACCTATCTATATTCGCTGAGTGTGGGACTATTTTCTCCTGACGCCCAAAGGCCTGATGAAAATACCACTGCTTTGACTTTTCTACTTAAATGTATTATACAGCGTGATGCAGTGTTCTCATCAAATATTGCCATGATGATTACACTGATAATAGATTTAGAAACTCTTTCCAGGAAAGCTGGCTGCTCTTTGAGATCACAGTCGCTGAAATAAATGTCTCCTCTTTGTCCCTGGGAGGAAGCATGACTTTAGCAACAACATGAACTCGGCCCCTCAGTTTTGTGTAACTGCCAATTAATAATCAATAGAAATAAGTGGGGGAGACATCTGTATAAGAGCTGCCAGGTTTAACAGATAAAAAACAGGATCCCCAGTCAATTTTGAATTTCAGATACCAATTTGGTGTTCATCTGAAGCTCAGATTTAACTGGTCAACCCTAACCTATACAAATATAATGTGGATTTTATCTATCATCTACAATATAGAATATGCCAATCAATAAACATATTTTTATAGAGAAAGGATTAAAAAACATACTCCTCTCACAAAAGCAATATATTTTCTTAAGTGCATGACAGCTCCTAAATATGGCGAAGGACTATGCGTATTTTACTAGATATCCATTATGAAGACAAAATTATTATTTTCCTAAAAAAAAACAACCACAAAAAACAAATAAATGAAAACGATGAACACACAAAACACAAATTGAATGGAACAATCAGAAAATTGATCAGAATTCCCTTCCTCTTCCTGTCCTGACACTAAGGCCTTGAATTTGTGCCACTCCTTTCTCTCTGCAAGTTCTAGAACTTCATAGTAACTGACTCCACAGAAGGGAGAAAAAAGCAAAAAGCTTCCTTCTAATTTTGCAGATGGATCAGCTGAGGCCAGCGAAGTTTTTAGTAAGCATAATAAAAAAAAAACTTTGGGAAGCTAATATCAGACTGCAAGTGAGTCCATGGCACATATTTTAAAACTGTGGTACAGAGAATGCCTCTCAAAAGAGTAAACAGATAGTAGTGTGATGAAGGCCTGGGCAGGGGGTGGGGGTAGGCTGGAAGGGGTCAATGGAGAAAAGAAGGAAACATCTGTAACACTTTCAACAATAAAGATTAAAAATTAAAAATAGTAAATATTCAAAAAGAATATTTAAACCAGGGAGCCCACCAGGACTTGGGTGAGAGAGGGCCTCCACCAGAGGCCTGGATGCTCTGCTTTGTGACCAGCAGCCATTTTTTCACCCTTTAATGGCTCATTTTCCCAGAGGTTGCCAGATTCCTGCCTTTCTTGTCATAGAACTCATCCTCGGTGAGACGGGCAACAGTTATATATTGCCCAGGTCCTCAAGCGGAAGAGGAAAGACTTATCTGGACCTAATGCTACTAATAGCAATTGCAGTTGTGAATCAACAATTTTGGAGAAATAGGTTTTCTAAATACAAATTTTGATGAGTATTATGGAAGAATATAGCTGTAGAGAAGAGTAACCTTTTTAAAAAACAAAAAAACAAAACAAAAAACCTCATCTGAGGACATGTTTTTATTGATTTTAGAGAGAGAGGAAGGGAGAGAGAGAAACATTGATGGACTTCCTTCCAAACATGCCCTTGACTGGGGATGGAAACCACAACTTAGGTATATGCTCTGACCAGAAATTACACCCTCAACCTTTTGGTATATGAAACCACGCTTCAACCAACTGAGCCACCCCGCCAGGGTGAAAAAGTAAAAGAGTAAACTTTCTATAGGCACCTCTTAAGATTACTGGCTTTGGAGTCACGCTGACCTGAGCTTGCTTTCTTGGGCCATCCACACTTCTGCCCCTTGGCTGAGAGCCCATGGGCAAGTGCTCTGGGCCGTTACAATTGTAAAGTATTATATTATATATCTTACAGTAATACTAGTACTCAGGAGACTGTTGTGAAAATTAAAATGAAATAAGGATGTGTGGAAAGCTTTACAAACCAGGAAGGGTGATATAAATGTTCATTATTTACTTTGACAAAGAGTGGGTAACCCACATAGCCCTATTTTAACAAAATTGAATTAGAATGCTCTCCCGAAAGAAAAGTCATAGCTACTCATGATATTTCTGGGTTTCACACTGACTCATGACCTAGGATTCTGGTATTGACATCAATGTTTTTTACTTCAAAATTCATATTTGATGGAGGAGAGCATGAGACAGACAACCAACTTCTTAAAAACAAGTGTGCTCTGTTCTAGGCCCTGAACTCCACTGGAGTCCTCACTCTCTGAACTCAAGAGATGCTTCTTGCTCACTGGCAGGTGGGCTAAGTGGGCTGCTGACCAGCACAGGCGAAGGACTTAAATCACCACCACTCAAGAGTGTCAAACCCAGGCCAGATGTTGTGAAGGCTTAGTTTCATTTCCAAATGACTGGGAAGGACACCATGATTCTTCCCCTGAGATTCTCAAATAGGCCACTGAGCAGAGTACTGCTTTCTACAGACACTGGGGCTTCATGGGGTTGTAGCACAGTCATGGGGTAGAATCAAATTCAAAGCGCTAACATACCCCAAGCCAAAAGTGAACTCGCTGGGTGATTTAGGCAAGTCACTTAACTTCTCTGGGCCTTAGTTTTCTCATCGGTCGAATGAGGTAGTTGAACTGCATGATCCTTATTTTCCCTTCTAGCTTACTGATCAATGGCTCCTTGCCCTGTTTTCTAGCTATCAAACCAAACCTCCTCTTTCTGAGCAACAGGCTGCCAGATCTATTTCTTGCTGTACAACATCTGTTGGAGCTCACAATCAAAGGTAACCACCTGAAACTTTTTCCTTTCTGCCTTTAAATCCAAAGAAGAAAGAAGGCAGTACCCACAAAAGGTTACATAAGTAAAAGATACACTTCTTTTGGGTGATATTTTAAAATTATCTGGGCTAGAGAAAAATGGTACCTTTTGATAAAGTTGCAGGACTCCTTATATTATATTTCACTCAGATCTTATCTCTCTCTCTCTCTTTCTCTCTCTCTCTCTCTCTCTCTCTCTCTCTCTCTCTATATATATATATATATATATGCATGGGATAAGCAGAGAGAAATATATACTAATATATAATAAAAGGGTAGTAGCAAAATGACCCTAACAGTGGAATGACCGGGAACAACCTGTTGCTATAATATGCACTGACCACCAGGGGGCAGATGCTCAATGCAGGAGCTTCCCCCTGGTGGTCAGTGTACTCCTATAGGGGGAGTCCCACTCAGCCAGAAGCCTGCGGCTGGGAAGAGCAGTGGTAGTGACGTAAGCCTCTCCTGACTCCACTGCAGGCGTGTGGTAAGGAGTGAGAGGTCCTGGACTGTGAGGGCCCTGGACTGCAAGAGGGATGTCTGACTGCTGGCTTAGGCCTGATCCCCAGGCCAGGCTGAGGGATACCTCCCCTCCCGTCCCAGTGCATGAATTTCATGCACCAGGCCTA